GCCTGAAGCATGCTGAGGAGGATGCAGAAGTCAATTGCTCGGATAGTAGGTCCTAGTGTTGAAGTTTAGCACATGTTACACGCTAGAGTCAGTACCGACTGATTTTGTTGCATATACGAGGGTCCAGGTGGTGGTGGAGCGGACTGACATCATCGTCGTCTACGGATACTACCGAGCTGTTGAGCTTCTACTATAAAGCAACAAAGAGACAGATGATTTGGAATTACCTCTAGCCCATCGGTGAATCTACATCGTTTACTCGTATGCCACAATGTTACTGCGAATATACAGGTCTGAGGTCACTCGCGAAGAGACTTCAGCCTTGAGCGCGAAGCCCAGAAGACAGACAGCTACTTGTGAGATGAAAGGCGACCAAGAGCCTGATGCAGCCCAACCAAACTCGATCTCGAGTCCCCGACACATAGCAGCCCGCCTCTCGATCACATCCACGACAAACCGCCGCCCCCTGTTAACGACATGTGTATGGTACCTGGCGAACACGAGACATCAAAAATCACTGCAGAAACGAGTTTGCGAGGCGCGCCATGATCGATGTCGCTTTGGCTGTGGTCGGAGCGACGATCAACGCCCATGCCTTTGTGCGCACACTTGGGACGATCCGAGCGACCAAGATCCCTCACGTGCATTCCGACGCCGGGTTGACCTCAAGAAATCCAAGATAGCTTGGTAGCACAAGCTTCATTGCGACTCAGTTCTAACCCGCCGAAGATCGTGGGGCTCCTGCGGGCTGCTGGGCCGTGCGTATCACGCAGGCTGCAAGAGTGCTGTCCCGGCCAATGAATCCTCCCTACGGCGTCTACCATGTTGCAACGCCTGTATTGTCAACAGCCTGGTCGAGAAAAATGCGCAAAGCAGCCAGAAACTTTGATCGCGGGGTCTTGCAAATATCTGCTTGGGCATGGACGCCCTCACAATATGCATTCGCTTCTTCTACGGCAAGGATTTGTCATCGCTGCCTCAGTTGTTGGATCATGCCACTCCGCTACCAGGTTGTTCGGGCGTTCGGTCTAAAAAGAAAAACCGAAGTCTCCCGTATCCCGGACATCAGTTTCGCCGCCGTGTGTATGAGGGCCTTCCAGATACCGCCACGAACCTGGTTACGGAAGGTCGATAAGCATTGGTGTCGTATCCACGGTTGTGCTAATTGCGACGGCAGCACATCGCGCCATCACGGCGCCACGAAAAGCATGCATGACATCGCTCAGGGCTGAAAACGACATGCGCATGTCGGATCTTCAACCGAATGTATGCTACCAGCAAGTGACAACTCTGCTGCTAGGTTGAATCCTTACGGTTTACCTTCTGCCTTCAGAATCCGTTATCTGTTGACCCAATACCGGAGCACAAGCAGAGAACAGATCGTCCAAAAGCGTCAGTCACTTGGCTCGAACCAGCTGCTTTGAGCTGGCTGGAGACATTGCATAACGCATCTTATGTGCAAGCAGGTATGATCCGAACTATGCGTGAAGTGTGTGGTAAGATATGCTAGACGAGACAGCCAAAGCTCCCAAGATACCTCGACATGCGCGTCACCTGAAGCTTTGCTCTCATACCCATCTTCCACCCCTAGTCTCTGGCTATGGCTTCCGGTCTGCCTCTCGAGCCTTGACTATGAGTGGCGGCTTCAGCCAGAAAGAGTATGTTTGTTGATCCATCCAGTCATCACAGCTTTCGTTGAGCTCGAAGTCGAAGTCCCACAACAAGTGGCCCAAGGCAAGCCTCAACTCATAGTGTGCCAGACTGTAGGCGGAATTAGGCCTCTGCATAAAGATGACCAGGGTAGTGGACTTACTTTCTTCCAAGGCAGGCGCGTGGACCGACTGAGAAAGGGTTGAACGCGTTCTTGTCGTCCTTCTCAAACTCCACGGAGCCTTCAGGCAACCATCTCTCTGGAGCGAAATCGTCTGGTCGGACGAAGTTTCTCGAGGAGTGAAACATCGGATAGTGGAGTATAAACACCGTGGCGCCCTTCGGAACATACTTGCCACAAATCTGCATACCGGCTGCTGGTACCAACCTCGCCAACGTCTCCGGAGCGCCAGGGTAGACTCGCATGGCTTCGTCTAGAACTGCGCTCATGTACGCTAACCTCGGCAGTGCCTCTATTGTCATCGCGTCTTTCGACTTGAAACTGTCATAGATCTCTTGCTTCAATCTCATCATGCAGTGGGGATTCTTCAAAAGTAGATATAGCGCTCCCGAAAGCACTGTTGCCGTAGTTTCTGACCCTACCACCATGAAGAGAGCGGCATTGCCGACCATTTGATCCAGAGAGAGGCTCGCTTTCTTTCCGCCGGGTCCACCGGTGATCAGACCCCAGAGATCTGGACGATCGGTCTTTCTTTCCAATCTTTCCTTCACACGATCTTCGGCGAACTTCATGTGCGCATCTCGCTTTGCCTTCATCGATTTCGGGACCAAGAGCGGCAGGATCTTTGACGCAAAAGGAACGTGGTAAAATACCACGATGCGGATAGTGACTACTTTGATCGTTGCAACTATCACACGAACCCAGCTGTTGTATTCTGATCGCTCCAATAGACCAAGAGAGGTGCCGAAAGCTAGATCACCCATAACGTCGAAGGCTAAGAAGTTGAACATGTCTACCATGTTCGTCTCGAGACCCTGATCAGCGCGCGACTGGACGGCTGCTGTCAATCTGTTGACGTGCTTGAGCAACAAGGGCTCCTGCTCCTTCAGTGCCCGGGTGGAAAACCCTTGATTGAAGAGTTGGCGTTGTTCTCGATGCTTCTCGTCATCCAGCACGTCGATGATGCCTGGCTCTCCCGACATAGGTGGAGGGTTAGCAAGAGGGTTTTTTGGCAGCGGCTTGCGAGATGTGTAGGTGCCTGTTCCATGGATGTCTTTCGAAGTCAGCGTCGAGAAATATGTATGCGGAAGAGGCCATGTTTACCCTTCCATGCATTGCTAGAGGTGTAGCTCAATTCCCAGGGACTCAATCGCACAATTGGCCCATATTGCTCATGTAGACGGTGCGCATCAAACACCGTAGTACCCCTCCATCTAGAAAGAATGCGGGGTATAGGAGATGCTCGCCATAAGAACGGACCGGGGTAGTGTCGAAGTGGATGGATGAGAATATTGTACGACAGCCATCCTGCGATGGAGGTAATCTGATCACGATTAGAATTTCTACACCCTCATCGTACGAGTGAAGTAGCTTACTGCTACCGAAAAAATGCGTAGAAAGAGTAGAACAACTGTCATGATGAGATACACAATGCTTGGATGGCACAGAGTTGCTCCGAGGGAATCTGTGGTGTGTACAGAAAGACCATGGGCATTTTTTAGCCAGCTTCATTGCTTGTCCGATCAACCAAGGCATGTACTGACCGCTTCTCAAGTGCGATAAGGAATGTCATTTTCCTCGATTGGCATCACGCGACACCTTCTTGCCTTCGGTAGTTTTCTGGATACACACGGTCTTTACTCGGCGTCTCTTCGCAAGCACCGTATGCAACCCTATACTTGATCAAGATAAGTGGAGATGGCTGGTTCCACAGCGCGTTACAATCTAGAGTAGCTCCTAATCTCTATATCGTGGGGGATGTAAGTAGGTCCGTTTCAAAGAATGCTAGGAGTGATGAGTGAGCGAGTCTTGTGTACAATGAATCGCATAGTAGAGTACGTTGTATATAGTTATCACAGGAATCATAGCTCGCGGAACAGTCTATATACCAGCTGGTTCAACATAGCGAATCGTTCGTGATTCCGTAGACAGTTTAGGTATTTTTCGATATGCGCACCCAGTCTGATCATTTCGCGCCTTCTGTGGCGTTCTTTTGCCCTCAAAGCAAGGCCCCCACAGAGGCGTACCTCGAGCAGCTCCAAAAGTACATTGTTGAAACGCCCCTACTCCTCCCATTTGCAGAAGCCATCACGTCGTTGACGGACACATGGACCATACTTTGTGACGGCCACCCGGACATAGCCAAACTCAAATCGGGCAAGCGACATGTCGTCAGTCTGAAGCGATGGATAACCGACGGAATATCTGGGCCTGTTTCAAGCTCCATGTCCGGTATTCTAGCGTTGCCGCTGTTGGTCGTTATCCAGATCTGCCAGTACTTCCAGTTGCTCGAGTTGCATGGTCTCACGCACGAGCGAATGCTGGCAAGCCTGAAGAAAGGTGGCGGCGCTCAGGGATATTGTGGAGGTCTTCCTACAGCCTTTGCTGTTTCTTGCGCCAAAGACGAGGAGGAGGTGGTCCATCTTGCAACCAAAGCTTTACGACTGGCATTTGCCGTTGGCGCATTTGGCGAATTGGGTGACGACGAGTTGGTGGAGGGGGCCACGACCATCGCAGTACGCCTGAGAACTCCTCGGCAAGGAGATGAGCTTGTGGCAGGTATTCCTAGAGTAAGTTGGGATTCTTTTCGTATTCGCTGCAGGGCCTCTCCCCTGTCGGTCTTTGGACTTGTGTCACAGGAACATGACTTCCACCGAAGCAAACAAGCAGCATTTAGCAATTCCATTCCTGTGTAACAGCTACTTACAACATGCAGTGCTACATTTCGGCGATCACAGACCCAAAAACGATAAGTATCGTAGGCCCTGTGCTAGAGCTCGAGAAGGTGGCAGAAAGAGCTCGTAACCGGGGTTTGCTAGTCACTGATATCCATATCCGTGGCAAAGTGCACAACCCGGAGAACGCGCCTTTGGTCAAAGTGCTGTTTGACATTTGTCAGGAGCATGACGACATGATGCTGCCTGATGCTAGTCAGCTGCGAGTTCCTGTGCGATCGAATTTGGATGGCAGCTTGCTGCATGATTGCTCGCTGACACACGAGGCAATCAACACCATCCTCGCCTCTCGATGCGAGTGGTATCGGCTTTTGAAGGATGTCGCACAGGACCTAGCGGGAAGTGGTACAGACGCCCATACATTTGCTTTGTTCGGCATAGGAGACCCAGTCCCCCTGATGCCGTTCCACAACGCTCGCTTGCGGATATCGAAGATGGAAGTCCATACCACTGTTCAGGGGGCCAGGTTGGCTGAATACAAGTAGTAGGTAGCCCCAACAGGCTGACGCGACTAGCGCCGCGCTAACACATCACGCCAGCCCGGAAGACGCCATTGCCATCACTGGTGTTTCATGCCGACTCCCACGAGCAGCCGACCTCGAAGAACTATGGCAGCTCCTCGCCGCTGGCACATCGACTTGCGAAGAGATCCGCCATGACAGGGTTCCGATGCGCGAAAGCTTTCGCGCGTTGCAAAACGACAAATGGAAGCCGAAGTGGTTCGGCAACTTCATTGATGGGGTCGATGAGTTCGACTGGGCTTTCTTCCGCTCGAATGCCAAGGAGGCTGCCAGCATGGACCCTCAGCAACGCATCCTCTTGGAACTGACCTATCAAGCTCTGGACAGCGCGGGCTACCTCCGCAAACATGTTCGCGAGAACGGAGACAAAGTCGGCTGCTTTGTCGGCGCAAGTTTCATCGAGTACACGGACAATACGAGTGCCCATCCACCAACTGCATATACAGCGACTGGTACCATTCGGGCATTCTTGTGCGGCAGGCTTAGCTATCACTATGGCTGGACTGGACCGGCGGAAGTCATCGACACGGCCTGCTCCTCTTCGCTTGTCGCCATCAATCGTGCCTGCCAGTCCATCTGGTCGGGTGAGTGTCCTATGGCTGTTGCTGGAGGAGTGAACATCATCTCCGGAGTTCACAACTATCTGGGTCTTGGCAAGGCCGGCTTCCTCAGCCCGACCGGTCAATGCAAGCCTTTCGATCAAGCGGCCGATGGCTATTGCCGTGGAGATGGTGCTGGAATGATCGTATTGAAGCCCTTGAAACAGGCGATGGCAGATGGTGATCCAGTTTTTGGCGTCATACCGGGGTCGTCCACCAACCAAGGCGGTTTGTCTGCATCTTTGACAGTCACTCAACCCTCGGCACAGGTTGAGCTATACCAGTCGATTCTCGAACGTGCTGGAATGAGTCCAAACCATGTGTCCTACGTTGAAGCCCACGGGACCGGCACACAAGCAGGCGATCCTCTTGAGGTGAGCAGCATCAGAGACGTGTTTGGTGGATCAGATCGTCCAACCAAACTCTATCTTGGTTCTATCAAAGCCAATACTGGCCACGCAGAGTCGGCGGCTGGGGTCGCTGGACTGCTCAAAGTCATCGCTATGTTATGGAAGAAAGCAATCCCGCCCCACGCATTGTTCAAATCTTTGAACCCCAAGATTCCCTCATTGGCCCCGGACAGGATTGTCATCGCAAAGAGCCTGGAACCATGGGAAGTACCCTTCAGAGCTGCGTGGGTGAACAACTACGGCGCGGCTGGAAGTAACGCATCGCTTGTTGTCTGCGAAGGGCCTCGGATGAGCTCTAGCAAAGCGTAAGTGTGAATCTCGCTCCTAGAAAGCTAAGCCTAACCTATCTGAATAGACCCACTCAGCTGCCTGAGGGTACCCACTATCCAATCATACTCTCAGCCCACACAGTTGAGAGTCTGAAGGCTTACGTAGCTGTCCTTAAATCGTACATCAGCCAAGGAGATCTGAGCCTCTCGAGCCTTGCTTACACCCTATCGGAGCGGCGAAAGCGCCATTCGGTGGCCTGGATGACAACAGCTTGCGACATTGCCGGCTTGCGCACCGAACTCTCCACGGACATCTCGTCATGCAGCATACCCCAACCTTCGAAGCGTATCGTGCTTGCATTCTCCGGCCAAAGCAAGCAGAATGTCGCTCTATCGAAAGCGGTTTACGAGTCAAATCCCAGGCTACGCTACTACCTCCAAGAGTGCGATCGAATCCTCGTCGCGCTTGGAACTCCATCGATCATCCCGGCTATCTTCCAGACCACCGTCATTACCGATCCAGTTCTGTTGCAGACAGCTACCATGGCGGTCCAATATGCTAGCGCTAGGTGTTGGATCGATGCTGGCGTGCAGCCCGCTTGCATCATTGGACACAGCTTCGGAGAGTTGACAGCAATTGCCGTATCGGGTGTGCTCTCTCTTGAAGAGGCCCTCAAACTTGTTACTACCCGAGCCCAGCTCATGGTGACTAAATGGGGACCAGAGAGAGGTACTATGCTAGCAATATTTGCGCCGTACTCTGTTGTCGAACGTGTCATTGATGCAATCGGTGGTGAATCCCTAGAGATTGCTTGCTTCAATGCCACTAACAGCCACGTCGTAGTTGGCACCAAGATTGCGGTGACCAATGCGGAAAGACTGCTGGTTACTGACCCCTCGTTCAAGGGTGTCAGCAGTCGGAGAGTCGATGTAACTCATGGCTTCCATTCCGTCTTCACCGAGCCACTTCAGAAAGACTTCATGGAGTTCTTGAAATCATTGGACTTCAGAGAAGCTTCTATTCCCATCGAGCCATGCACAAAGGTGCACACTTCATTGATCAATGCTGAGCATGTTGCATCACATCTTCGCCAACCGGTCTACTTCATCGACGCCATTCAGCGGATAGAAGAGCGCCTGGGAGGCTGCATCTGGCTTGAAGCAGGATTCGATTCATCCATCATCCCCATGATTAAGCGTGCGACAGCTGAACCGGAGATTCATTCATTTCTCAACATCAAGACGGCTGATGTTAGTCAACCTACCAACGTTCTCTCTCAAAGTATCATCCACCTCTGGAAGGAAGGGATCGATATCACCCCATGGGCTTTCCTGTCTCCTTCCGAAGCTGGTTTAGAACCAGCATGGCTACCCCCCTATCAGTTTCAGAGAACCAAAGCTTGGCTCGAGAATGTTGATAGAGCTACTGAGCTTCAGCGGAGTTACGAAAGTCTTGGCTCGCAAAAGCTCGAGACCGCTTCTGTTCCGATCCCTGTTCGCTTGCTGCATCATGCTGAGTCTACTAGCAGTGCGAACAAGTTTGTTGTCAATAATTCGGCCAGCCGCTTTCGTGAGGTCATCAGTGGCCATGCAGTCCGTGGTCGGCCGCTTTGTCCCGCATCCATGTACATGGAGTGTGCGGCTATGTCAGCTCAGATTCTGGGTGCAGACCTCGGATCTAAATCGCTAGCATTTGAGGACCTATCATTCGAATCACCGCTAGGCGTCGACCTGGATCGCAACGTCAATCTGACTCTCGAAAATATTGACAAAAACGGATGGAAGTTTGTTCTTTCGAGCTCTTCCGGGCAAGCAACCAGTTCCCACCGCGCAACTGTTCATGGCAGGGGTCGGATGGCTCTAGTAGAGAATCCTCGATTTTCTACATACAAGCGGCTCATAGCTGACCGCCTTGACTCAATTCGATCGAGTCCGAGCTCGGAGAAACTCAACGGCGGACGAGCCTATAAGCTGTTCTCGAAAGTTGTGGACTACGCCGACTTCTTCCACGGGATTCAAAGTATCGTCATTGACAACAACGAGGCACTAGCCGACATCCGTATGCCAGACAGTCATCTTGGGGGCAATGAAAGCGCAGTAACGAAGTATTGCGACACTGTGTCCATTGACGCGTTCATTCAAGTCTCCGGCCTTCTCATCAACAGCAGCAAAGTATGCCCACAGGGTCAGGTTTTCGTAGCTTCCGGCCTCGAAAGTGTCACGACGTCCAAACATTGCGACTTCGACACTCACAAGGAATGGGACGTCTATGCCATTTTCACTCTCATCGATGATGTGCATGCGACCGGCGACGTTTTCGTTTTGACCAAAGACGGCGAGGTAGCCATGACAGCTATCGGTGCCAAATTCCATCGTCTCGAAATCTCCAAGCTTGAGCGAACGCTTGACGCAGCCAATGGATCAAGATTAACCTCGAAATCGTGTTCATCTCTCTCTCTTCGCGAGAACTCTAGGCCCGCTATGCTCGAGAGCCCTCCGCCATTGACGCCCGATGGCGCTTCCAACTCATCAAGTGCTTCCTCGGTGGCTGGCGACGAAGCCAACGAATCAGATGATCCGTTGAGGGCGATGATCTCCGCATATACTGGCGCACCAGCAGATTTCATTGCCTCAAACACTTGTATCGGTGATCTTGGTATCGATTCACTGGCGTCGGTCGAACTCTCGGACGAGATTAACGACCGTTTCGGGAAGATTGTGTCGCCTGGCGAGCTTCTAACGGTGAGCTTTGGTGCATTGAGCCAAACCATATTTTCTGGCGTCACCAAAGCCAACCGAAAGCAAGTCTCACCGGTAACCACGCCGACGGCTAGGTCTCCATCCCCGGTCTCCAAGACATCCAAAACCGGATTAATGCCTCATTCAAGCCCAGAGGAAGGTGCCAAGGACTCTCTTGGTAGGACTCGACGCGCGAAACTGTTCGAGCTTATTTCAGATCTTTGTGGCGTTGCTGTCAGCCATATCGAAGATCACCAACTTCTTCAGGACCTCGGCTTCGACTCTCTATCCACCACAGAACTCGTTTCCTGCCTATCTGAAGAGTTCAACGTCGATATCAATGGTATTGATAGCCTCCTTGACGTTTCTGTCAAGGATCTGATGCACTTGGCCGGACTTTCTCCAATGAAGCCAAGTACCACCTCACTTTCGAAGCCGTTAAACTCACCTGTGCTTGATCCACCCATACACCATTCTATCAGAACTGCCGAGATTACGGATCCGTTTCAATCTCTCTTGGAGGCGGAGTCTTCCTTTGAAGATTATGCCCGGTCTTGCCAGTTTACAGAGTATCTAGCAAAGGTCTCTGCTCGTCAGGATGAGCTTCTTCTTGCTTACCTGATTGAAGCTTTCCAGAAGCTAGGGATTGATTTCAAGGCCATTGCGCCGGGCCAGAAGATTCCCGATTTCGGATATCAACCTAAACACAGTAAGGTAGTGCACAGGTACTACGAGATTCTCGAAAGGCATTCTGTCATCGAGAAGAAAGACTCCGGATATATCCGGTCATTTTGTTCACCCACCCTTCCTCCCAGCTCGTTCCAGCTTCTACGCGACCTCATCACAGACCACCCAAATTATCGCTGTGAGGCTGAACTCATGGCTCTCACCGGACCGAAGATTGCAGAATGCTTGATGGGTGTGGAGGACCCTGTTAAGCTGCTCTTTGGCACCAGCACGTCCCAGGAAATCGTTGGAAGCTTCTACACGCAAGCCCCTATGTTTGCCACTCTGACTGAGGTTCTTGTGGACTTCATGGTTCGATTAGTCAAGAAGGCAAACGGGCCAGTTCGTATCCTCGAGGTCGGAGCCGGCATGGGAGGGACTACCAAGCGGCTTGGTGAAGCACTAGGTGCTCTCGGCCATTCCATTGAATATGTATTCACGGACATATCTTCAACCCTGGTCCGAAACGCTTCTAAGAAGTTCAAATACTCGTGGATGCAGTTCAGAACGCTTAACCTTGAAGTCGAACCGCCTACAGATATGGTTGGCAGGTTCGACGTCGTCATTAGCACGAACTGTGTTCATGCAACCGCCAACCGAACTGAAACCTGTCGTCGTATCAAGCACATGCTCAATCCGCATGGTGTCTTGGTGCTCTCAGAAATCACTACTATCTTCGACTGGCACGAGGCTGTTTTTGGTTTGCTGGACGGTTGGTGGTTGGCGGTCGATGCCACACATGCCATTCAACCTGCAGCAGTCTGGATGAACTTCATGCATCAAGCTGGGTTTGCAAGCGCCACCTACTCTCAAAGCACAATGCCGGATTGCAATCTTCAGCGGCTACTTATAGCCTCTGTGAAGCAGTATCCGGAACCACAGCGTCACAGTGACTTGCCAACGTCCGGTGTTGACACAGTTGTTTACAAGGTCGTTGATGGTATTGAGATAGAAGCCGATGTCTACTTGCCGAACAGCCCTCCAATTAGCTCGATGCCTGTAGGTAAATGGCCCTCCGCACGCGTTGCTGTTCTGCACTAAACGTCTGGCAGCATTGATGATCCACGGAGGTGGCCACATGACGCTTTCACGCAAAGCAATCAGACCAGCACAGACAAAGTTCTTATTGTCGCACAACATTCTTCCTGTCAGCATAGACTATCGCCTGGTTCCAGAGGTGAATGTCATTGACGGGCCGTTTTCCGACGTACGAGATGCATACGTTTGGATCCAGACAAAGCTCTCTGCTATCACATCTCAATACGGCATCTCGATAGACCAAACTCGCATAGTTTCGATTGGGTGGTCAACGGGTGCCCATCTCGCCATGTCGTAAGTTTGGCTGTACGAAGTGCATGTGAGACAAATACTGACTTCGTACCTCTATCTCTGTAGCCTTGCTTGGACTACCAAAGCGCTCGACATCCCATCACCAGCCGCCATATTGGGCTTTTATGGCCCAACCGACTTTGAAACTGGGGCTCTGGAAAGGCATCAGGAAGAGCAGTCTTACGGAGAGTTCCCTGCCCGCAGAATGCGACTTGAGAAAATCATGCAGGCTCTGCCGCGGGCACCCGTGACAAATTATGGCACCATGATGGATGGTAGTCGATTGGGTTGGATCAAGCCCGGCGATCCACGCTCTGAGCTCATCTTCGCGGTTCTCAAGGAGGGCATCGGGCTGAACGTTCTGCTCTACGGCCTTTCTCCTAAGGCTCTGGCCCAAAAGCCTGACCCAGAGCTTGTCAGAGCGATTAGCCCAATGGCGCATGTGCGAGACGGCTCCTACAATGTCCCCACATTTGTCATTCATGGGCTACACGATGAGATTGTTCCGTTCAAGACAGCCGAATCGTTCGTAAAGGAGCTGGACAATTCTGGAGTTGAATGTGGCTTCTTACCGGTTCCTGGAGTGAAACACATCCATGATCTGCATCTCAAGCCGGGAAGCAGAGAGTGGAAAAGCCAAGTAGAACCAGGATATCTGTTCCTGTTCAAGCATCTAAAGATGTCCTTTTAGGTAGACTTATAGTCGAACATAGTCACTCATCTCTTGTCACTGCAACGAATGAATCACATATCTGGTAGAGTCGATCGCCCTTTCTGGTACCATGCATGCCCTCGCAAAGCAGAACCTGGTTGTGTTTCGATAAGTTGCGTAGCCAACCATGCAGCGGAGCAAATCAGTAGGCGCTCTCGGTCCTGATGTCAATACCGAGGTTGAGAGTACAAGCAAAGGTGGCCATTGCGTCAAGAAGGGTGTCTCTTATCTTCGCACACCGCTTGCGATGTAGGTGCATACTATCCAGAGCTAGCATCGTATCTATTGCGGACCGAATGTAAAAACGTACACCTCACATTTCGGCGACACGAAAATTGGACCGAGGAACCGGCGAACGGGCAGATCAACACTCAACCTACTCCGAGAGTCTGGTGACATATGGTGCGGGGCATGGTGTACCGGACACATGCAGCTAGTACGCTACAAGAAAGTCTCAAAAGGTAGCTTATGGCCCACTACGTCTCATGGTCACGCCGACGTCCAATCCACCATTGTTATCCATCCTCCGGCCTTCAGAAATGAGCACAGCCATAATCTCCGAAACGAGCAACATGTCCCCGAAAGGCAGAACGAAGATCACTCGAGAAGAAGAAGATCAGATATGGTCTTGGAACGCTTCACTTCCGCCAACTCCTCACTTGACTATCACTCAAGTCTTCACCAAGCAAGTCAGCTGCTCCCCTGACGCGCCTGCGGTGGACGCACCAGACGGTACACTCACATACACGCAATTGGAAGACTACTCTACGCGTTTAGCCCAACATCTTCATACTATACTCGATGAAGCCACTGCCGGCGAAATCATCCCGATCTGTTTCGACAAATCCATCTGGCTAGTTGTCTGTATGATGGCTGTGTCGAAGGCGGGGATGGCGTACACGACGCTGGACCCTGGCAACCCAACGGAGCGGTTACATGCGTGCCTGGCCACTATAAGTCCTCGAGTAATGCTTGCCGAAGAAAAGTTCAACGAGAGGTTTCCGCGCGAAGTTGTCAGCAAGGTGGTCATCAATGTGCCAGAACTTTGCAGCAGCGATTCCGAGAGTGGGATGATCGGAGTGATAGACCTGCCAGTCGGCCTTCCGAATGATCTCGCTTATGTGTGTTTCACATCAGGATCGACGGGACTACCTAAAGTGGTTCAACATACGCAAAGCAGTGCGGTCTCTAATGTTATCCATGGTCATGGTTACGCAGCTAGTAGCCGCGTTCTCAACTTCGCCTCCCAGGCTTTTGCTGCGAGCATTGTCACGACTTTGAAGACGCTTTGTAACGGGGGTCTATTGATCCTACCGCCAGAGCGAGAGCGCATGGGCGGTATAGCGAACTTCATCACCAGGAAGAAAATCACTCGGACCTTCCTTACACCAACGCTGCTGAACCTGCTGAAGCCAGAGGAAGTGGATTGCTTGCAGTTTTTGACCGTAGGGGGTGAGCCCGTAACTCAGCGACTCATCGATATTTGGGCGCCGCGGGTGTCGCTTGTGGAGGCGATTGGCATGACGGAGGGCGTCGGTATTGCGAACGCCATCGATGTTAGCGGGAAGAAATGTAAAGCTCGCCAGTTTATGACGGGTTGCGCATGGATCGTTGACCAAGACGATGCGAATACACTAGCGCCGATCGGGGAAACGGGGGAACTTCTTTTTGAGGGACCAGCGCTATTCCAGGGATACCGCAACGACCCGGAAGCTAATACGAAGGCATTTATCGACGGGCCACCTGTATGGGCGAAAGCGAGGGGGGAGATGAGACCCAGAGTGATGTTTCGAACGGGAGATTTGGCAAAGTATATCGAAGATGGCGTTGTGCAGATTGTGGGAAGGAAAGATACGCGTGTCAAGTTACATGGGCAACGCTTTGAGTTGGGAGAGGTGGAGAAGTCGTTGTTGGACAGCCTCCCATCGGGTGTGACGGTCGCAGCGGAGATAGTCGAACCGACAACCGGAACTGGGCCAATGCTCGTCGCTTTCATACACGGGCTTGCAACAGACTTCTCTCACGAAGTCAGGCAGTTGAGAGAGAGATTGGCGGACAGTCTTCCGGATCACATGATACCGCGCGGATTTGTGGAACTGAAAGAACGGCCGTTAAACCCGTCTGGCAAACTCGATCGAAAGCTACTGCGGAGTCAGGCTGCCAGGATGTCGTTGGTTGATCTGGTGAAGCATGTTGGCGCTCTAAGCAAGTCTGCGCCAGTGACATTGCAGGAGCGAACGATGCAACGTCTATGGGCCTCAGTGCTCGGCCTTCCTGTAGAGTACATCGGTTTGCAGGACGATTTCTTCCATCTTGGCGGAGATTCCTTGCACTGTATCAAGCTCATCGCACAAGCACGGAAAGAGCAGGTCATTCTGTCAATCGAAGACATCCTGGTAAATCGAACTCTCCAGGCTATGAGTACATCGGCAAGGTTCGAGGTATGCGCTCAGTCGACTACGCTAGGCGGTGAATATACAGCGCACACGATAGAGACAGTCGCACCGGAGATCTCACAAGATGATGTCGACGCTGTTGCTCTGGCGACGGACTGGCAGGCCTGGTGTGTCGGGCAGGGTCTGCTCAAGTCACATGGCTGGCATGACTACATGATCTTCAAGTTCCCCAAAACACTGGATGTTGGAAGGTTGCAACGCGCTTGTCAACAGCTCATAAACCAACACGCCCTCCTACGGACGGTGTTCGTAGTGAAAGCAAAACAAACTTTCCAGGTCGTTCTCAAGGCCAAGGCTTTCCCCTTCCGGTTCACTGTGGAGCAGTCTAGTGACAATCAGAATATGGACGGGCTTGTTAAGGAGATCATTCAGCAGGATATGAAACGACACCGTCAACTCGGCGATACTTTGGTAGCTTTTACCCTTGTACATGATGCCACGACTAGCACAGCGCAACTGGTCCTTCGAATCTCCCACGCCCAGTACGACGCGCTCAGTCTCAACACATTGTGGCGCTCGCTCGAGGCTTTGTATTTTGACAGACCATTGGAAGTCATTCCTTTCACCGACTTCTGCGCAGAAGCAGTCTTAGCAAGCAGGAATTCTGAGACGTTCTGGAAGACAGCTCTGGCCAATAGCTCGATGAGCGAAGTTCGTGCTCACACTCGCCCTAGCGTGGACTGCCCTATCAACGGCGCCGTCAAGATTTCCGTTCCCTTGGTAGATCTGAAGACTTCGGGTTACACGAGCGCAACCGCTGTTCTTGCCTCATGGTCGATCGTGCTGTCGAAGCTTACGGGTCAGGACTCTGTCGTATTCGGGTGCATCATTTCTGGAAGACACATGATGATGCCCAACGTATCGGATATCCTCGGCCCATGCATGAACGTCATACCTTTGCGCACGGATGTCGTTTCAACCGCAAAAGCTTCTTCGCTTCTCGATGCGACTCAAAGCAACTATCTGAAGTCGCTGCAGCATGGCCATATTGGACACCATCACATCATAGAGAAGTGCACCAATTGGCCTCGATGGACACGATTCTCGACAGTCGTGAACCATCTCAGCTTCGGGTCGATCGAGCAGCCATTTCCAGAACTTGGCGGGTGCGCATTCGACGTGTACGAACCGGAGCATGACAAAGCCGACCTATGGCTACAAACATCTGCTCGCGACAACAAGCTAGAAGTCGAACTGAGATACTCGCAACAGGCTTTCTCGGAAGATCGGGTTAAAGCGGTGTTGAGCGGCTTCGTTCAAACTTACGAACAGCTGCCTCATTTATTGGAGCAGAAACTGTCAGACATCCTTGCTCAATTCGATCTGGCTGCATTCCAGCACAACCTGGTCAGCCCCCGTCAAGCTAGGAAGCAGGCATCAAGGCCTGGGACAGAAGATAGAAAGATCTTGGAGGAAGTAGTTTGTTCAGCTTGGGAGTCGGTGTTGGGATCAGACTTCAGGTCGTCTCCTGGTTTCACACACCAAACTCCGTTCTACGAAATATGGGGCAACAGCATTGCTGCTGCCGCTCTTGCTTGTGAATA